TGGGACCCAAGTCCTTTGCTTGATGTCCAGAATGAACCGCTAGAGACACATGAGGCACAGATTCATCACCCATTCGGAACCAGCTCTTTTGTTCCTCCACCAAGTGGACCAGGGCTGCTACCCCCTGCGGTCCAACATAAATACCCCTGGTAGAGACCTGCCATTGTTTCCCTTCCAGGAATTCATGGAACAGGTCTTCGTACCACCCAGTATTTTCGCGATCGTAAAAAAGTGTCACGTGGTATGGGTCAATAGGTGGAGCATACACGTCCAGGGCCATGATCCAGGGCCGCCAGAGCTGGAAGTGTGCCAGGATGCCGTCAGAGGTCGTCAGCCGGCCCCAGTAAATTTCTGCTGTACGATCAATGTCCTCAGACAGCAGCCACTGTCCTCTCGTACTTGTGGCCACACAAGGAAGCTGTGTGCCATCCTTCAAAGTCATTGTTAAACCATCGGGCCCACAAATGATCACAGCTCCCAGTTTGATGAGCAGGTCTCGCCCCATCAAGTTCACAGGCACCTGCGCTGAAATAACATATGGATGAGCCACTGCTTGCTTTCCAATTTCAGTCTTTAACGGAACAGTCACTGGCAATGTCATTGGAACCCCAGAGAAGCCAACCACGCTGACCTCGTCCCCAGATAGTTTAATGTTCTCAGGAACTTCTTGGATGGTTGAATAAGTAGCTCCTGTATCAACAAGGAATGGCAGAGTCAGTCCATTCACCGTCAGTGAGAGTAAGGGGTCTGCCTTTCCCCCCTCTCCTCGGCATCCCTGTGGGGTGTGTCACTGCTGCCAGTCCTGGCTGCCCCAGCCGGCCCCCCAGGTCGGCATTTGAGGTCTTGGTCCGGGGACCATGTGTGGGTTTGGAGCCTGATAGTATGGACCACCCCTTCCTGCTTGAGGCGGGCCCATTTGCTGCTGTATTTGTGGCTGCTGTGGACAGTCTCTGGCCCAGTGCCCAGGCTGACAACACACCCAACAGACACCTCTAGGCCCACGACCCGCTCCAGGTGCTCCCCTTCCATACCCCAGGGTGCCTCTCACACCCACCGAGCCACCACGACCTCTTGCCCTTCCTCTACCGGCCCACACATTACCTCCCCAGCTGGCCATGGGTGCACTCTGCAAACCATCATAATATGTCCAGGGATTCATTGGATAAATATTTGGGTTAAAAATCCCCCAGGGCGAGCTGTGTGCCTGATGTCACTCTATCAAGTTATCTCAGCCAACCCGCGCCTCCATCAATGATGGGTGGGAGCATCTGCCCCAGGGATGTAACATCCCCTACCCCGTATGGTTTATATCGTCTTTCACCTCCTGTTGCAACCACTAGGGGCATTCCTAATGCAGAACTGGGGTGTCGCAGGACTTCCCCCTGGGGATTTTCTGCCGCTTTCATTTGACTTCTTCTCCACATCGGATGACCTCCAAGCTCTCCTCCACTGCGAAGCCATTGGTCCTCCATCTCCTCTCGTTCTCTTCGAGATCCAAACGCGGGCCATCCTCTTGAGTCATCTTCATCCCCTCCTGCACTCTGAATCACACTACACTCATCTATATCCTCTTCCAGAGTGCCCTGTATCCATCCATCCCAGGTGTCAACAGCTCTTACCTTAGGTGTTTGCGCCTTAAAATACACCTTCTTCCTCACATCTGGACCTAAAACACCACTCCCTTTAGCTTTTACCTTTTGCTTCTTAAATTTTTCCCAAAATTGTTCTTCATCGAACCGTGTACTCACCATGTCCACCAGTTTCTCTACCTCTTCAGGTAATAATTCCAGAGGAGTCCTAGCTGTTGCTCCGGCTGCACCAGGCTGTTCTTCCTCTCCTTCTTCGTCCTCCCCATCTTTTTGTTCCAAGTTGGTCTGAGTATGACCAGCAGGTAGCACTGTCTTTGTAGGTCCTATTACTATATTTTGTTGCTGCGGCTTAGGGCGGTGCTGGTCCTCATAATCACACTCCGCCTGCCCTCCAGTTAGGCGCAGCACCGTTCCCTCTTCATTCTCCATCCTGCCATCCTCAATACTCAATGTTGGATAATTACCACAATATGGTGGAGGACGTGCTGAAAAAAGAGGGGATGTGGGGTGAGGGTGTGGAAGACCACCAGGTCTCAACTTACCTTCCTCTTCCACAGGTTCCCTCATCCAGTGCTCCAGTCCTTGGCAGCTGATTCCCCATACAGCCAGCCTGGCTCGTTTCTCCTCCTCCTCTTTTATTTGTTTCTTAACTCCCCTCTTCTCCAAAGTATGTGCTCCATCCAACTCTCTCCTGAGTTTCTCCTCCTTCTCCTCGGATGCCTTGGCCGCTTCCAATAAAGCCTTTGCGAGAGAACATCGCATATCACCTTTTATTCCAGCTTGATCACATACACTCATTATTTCCTTCCCCATTTCCAGTATTTTATCATTCTTACCTGTCAGATGTCCAGTGCTTTCACACAACTACACAGTCTACACACACTGCAGTCAGTGGGCTGAGCCAAGCAGTCGTTCTCTCACTAACAAAGCAACTTGCCCCCACTCTCATGCATGTTATCAACCGTGACTAGGATCCAACACCTAGCTTTAGTTATTTAGGGCGCCCCCGGTGCCCAGGTCACCAACCCGGCAAATCCCAAGGACGCGTCCGACCAAGGGTGGAGTTGCCAAACTCGGAGCGCACATGGCCCTTAGCCGGCGACAAAGCCTTTCAGCCCCGCTTTCTAACTAATAGTAACACAAGTTTCCTGCTTTAACGCACGAGGACGAGCACAGCACCGCCACTTTTTTCCTAATAACTAAGACGGATCAGACACCGCCATGGATGAAACACAGATTCTATTAATCCGTAACAAACGTCTCCTGCTTTAACGCACCGAGATGTTCTTACGAGGCGCTAAACATCAACCTGAGTTCTTAGCAAAAGTCTCTTGCTTTAGTCGCTCACAGTACGCTAAACATCAACCTGAGTTCTTAGCAAAAGTCTCTTGCTTTAACGCACTGGGACGGACGCTAGCCGCCTCTTTTTCTACTGAGTGAATTTACACTGTAATACGTTCAACTTAGCGAACAGATAATTTAGAATTTATTCAATATGCACACTTCAAAAATAAACAGGTGGTGCTTACCTTTTAGATGATTGAGCCGGCTCTCTGTTTGCCTCGTTTCACGACCTCAGCACTGCCAATTCGTCCTTCTGAACCTCAAGCGAATCCCGGGGTTTCGGCACCAAAACTGTTACCTCTAAACAGTTTCGCCCGGTTTGTAGATTCCTCAGGCCTCCAGAAAGAACACTGGGGACTCAGTAGTCAATTCACAACACTTATTAATTCACACTCATTGACCACACTTATTGATTATACCTATTGATTACACCTTCTAGAAGGGAGAAGTACAGGACCCTGGAACTCCTCTGCAGATCTCAACTCCTTTGTCTGTTACATGCAGTTTTGTATCAGTGACCCCCCTTCTAAACCCTCTACAAGGTGCCATAAAACTAAGTGCTATGTTTACATATTTTCACTTGTGTGTGTGTGTGTGCGTGCCTGCGAATGCCTACATGTGCGCGTTCCCGCGTGCCTATATGAGTGCTCGTGTGTGACTGTGTACACATACCTGTGTGTATGTGTGAGTGCACACGAGTGAGTGTGCGTGTGGATGTGTGTGCGTGACAGTTAAAACACTGTGGTTGTAGGTAACTCCCTAGAGGTCATAAAACCCCTCTCCCTTCCAGACCACAGTTACCCAGTTATAAATGTTGAGACCCCCACCCTAAAACATCCTCTGGGGAATTTCCACTCAGTGGGGGAGAGGCCTCCTACAATCTACTCCTAAGTTCACAACACAGTGAGGCCTTTATTACTTTAAATTCAAATTCAAATTCAAATTTTATTTGTCACACACACACAACCATACACAGTATGACATGGGGGTGAAATGCTTGTAGCTGTACAATGCCCGACCATTAAATGACAGAAGAAAAGTTTTACAATATTTACAATTTACAGTTTACTACAAAAATTTACAAATTAACTTGGGAATTTACAGTAAAGAATGTGCAAATAGCAGAAGAGATTATAAAGATAAGGATTATAAATTATAGGAATTATAGGATTATAGGAAATGTGTGGTGGTGCATGTGGTGACGTGTGTGAGAGTCCAGTCTTATAGTGACGTGTTTGGGAGAGTCCAATCCTACACCTGGTTCAGGCCCCGAATAGCCTGGGGGAAGAAGCTCCTCCCCTTTAAGGGCAGTATCAATGTCTCTACAATAGTTCTACATTCTATGATAACACATTTCTAAACTCTAAAATAAGCTAAACATTCTACACTATGTACAAGTCTAACACATTGAACATACACAAATAAAACCATTTTCAGCATGTAAACCAGAATAACAACAAACTTCATTTTTACATAAACTAATCACCCTGTCCTTAACACCCGCTTACTCTCTGAGCTTATTTTATATCTATGTGAAAGCGCTATATAAATGCAATCCATTATTATTATTATTGACAAACACCTTAATGAACACTTAAGCTTGGGGTAATAAGGCCTTGATCTATAAAAAATGAGGACACAATTAGACAACTCAGTCACTGAGAGGAAGATTTCCTATATTCATGCAATTTATTATTTTTGAATAATCGTGTGAATTTTTGTATTGATGTACTTGTCTTGATTTCATCTGTACAGGTGTTCCACACACTAACTCTGACTGCAATGCTCTGATATTTTACATTTGTCCTTACTACTGGCTTGCTGAACATAAGGATTTCTCTCAGGTCATGAGTATTTGGTCTTATTTGGAACAGGTTCTGAATGTTGTGGGGCAAAGATTTATTCGCTTCTTTGTACATTGTTTGCGCAGTTCTGAGGTCAACCAAATCTTTAAATTTGAGAATATTTAATTTGATAAAAAGTGGATTTTAATGGTTCTCTTGAAGTAGCTTTATTTATTATCCTTCTTGCTCTTTTTTGCAGAATGTATATTGGATGGGTGTGTTGTTATTTTCTGTTAAGATAAACTGAAGTCAGGATTCTGTTTCGTATTTTGGTGAGTTTGAATCCATATATGAGAGGATTCATAACTGGAAGAATAGTGAGAAGCTCAATAGCAATCAAATTTTGGAAGATTCGAGATGAATCTGTGGAGTCAAATCGCCCATATATCGACTGAAAAACCATTACAAAGAGAAATATGATCAAAGAGGTCAGATGGGGCACACATGTCTGCATAAACTTTACCCTGTCTTCACTGGACCTCATGCATGTTTTAATAAGATGCGTGTAAATCCAAATTATGAAAAAGCCATGAAATATATAAACAATAAGTGTTGCATATGGACCAGTATTTTTTTTTTAAAAAGGTTTTCAGAATCAGAATCAGAATCAGAATCAGAAAGGGTTTTATTGCCAAATGTTGAGCAGGTTTACAACATTAGGAAATTGCTTTTGACTTCAGGACAAGCAAGTTTAACAATTAACCAGTCTGGACATAAGACTCTCTGAATGTTTATACCACATAACTTGACTCTTGATGTTATTGGGATATTGATGGAGAAAATGCAGAAAGGTGTCAGCCAGGAGAAACACACCAGCTGAGAGAGCCTCCTCATAGTCATGAAAGAGTGGTAGTGCAGAGGTCGACATATAGCCAGATACCTGTCAAAGGCCATGACAGCTAAAATGGACAAATCACAGGAGGAAAATGAGTACATGATAAAAGCTTGTAGCATGCATCCTTCATATGAGATGTGATGAAAAGATGACAGTAAATCTGAAAGGAATTTTGGGTAGAAACCTGTGGACCCATAAAGTGCATTAATGCAAAAGCTACTAAGAAAAATGTACATAGGTTCATGGAGACTTTCATCCAAGACAATGAGCAGCACAAGAGAGATATTGAAAAACAGAATCACACAATAATGCAGTAAAGTTATTATGAAGAGGGGTACTCTGAAATTCATCGTGTCATTAAATCCTAATAGAACAAAACTTTTTACATTAGACACATTATCCATGATCAGAGAACTCAAATGCCTTATCATTTTAAAAATATGTGTGTGTGATTATATGTGAGTGTACAGAAAATAGAGCTACTGCATCTACATCTCTATCATTATCTGCTGTGCCTCTACACCACCTCTTAATTATTGCCTTTTGTTCAACAACAAAACACACCTGGGAATTCAACCTCTGTTGATCTATTTAAAAAAAATCCCCTGAAAATCAACAAAGCAATACTCTGGTAAGTGACTATAGTAAAAGTACCTTTTGAATTTACAGAAATAAATAATAATAAATGTGTTTTGGGTGTCTTAAAGGAAAATAAATGTAAACAGAAGGCAAGATCTATTACAGTTTGCAGGGGTAGGGTACAGCTGCTGTTGTAAATAGCATGACATTTTTATTTTTAAATTGCATTGAAGACCCACAACTTATGCTTGGCTGCTTTTGTTGATTTTTGCTCTGCATTTGGGACTATCCAGCCTTTTGTTTTTCATTTATTTGTTTATTTTTATTCAAAAGCAAATGAAATTGAGTGGCGACGTTTCAAATAAATGGTATCATTTGTACAAACAGAACTCATTGCTATCAGCTGGAACAGTATTACTAATTTTAATTGCTTAAGTACCAGCGCTCCTTTAAGATCGTCCCAGGCACAGGTCAGGTTACTCCTTTTCACAATTTGCTTCACAAGGAAGAGAACATAAGCATTTGCTTTTTTGATATACAGTGGTTTGTAGCCTGGTGTGATGACAGCCACTTAATTTGGGATGTAAAGAAAACCCAAAAGACTGATTTCAGAGTAAAGGTGTGCAGAGGCCTAGGTCAGAGAGTTTTTCAACTCCCACCTCTGGCAGAGCTTTAGTAGCATTTTGATAATTACCTGAGAATAAAATTTTAGACCCAAGGGTATTATAGTTAAGTGTAACTAAACTAGGTGAGAAAAAACATGTTAGTCAACCAGAAAAAGAAGATAGTCGTCAGAAAAAGATGTAACGAAATTAAACCCCTTTTAAAATGCAAGACAGAAATGAATAATGTACAGGAAATGTGTTTAATTTCAATGTGTGTGTGTGTGTGTGTGTGTGTGTGTGTGTGTGTGTGTGTGTGTGTGTGTGTGTGTGTGTGTGTGTGTTTAATTTAGACATGTACAAACCAAAAGAAAATTCTACTTATATTTCAATTAATGAAGACAGTCTGGTAATATGTATATTGATTAACACTATACTGTACATATGTAAACAGATTTTTTGCCCCTCTCTGCAGAAACACTCATGACTTTAATCTCAAAGCTAAACTTTTACCACATATAAAATTCAAAACTCTTTTTCTTATTTTTGTTAATTTAAATCCATACATGAGGGGATTAATAATTGGTGGGATGAGGAGAATTTCCATTGCCATGAAATTCTCAAAACTTTGTGCTATTTCCTTTGAGCCAAATCGCATGTATAACATATCAAAAAGAAAAGACAGAACAACAACCGTTAAAGAGAATAAATGTGGTACACATGTCTGCATGAATTTGTTCCAGTTTTCTTTGGATGACTGACATGTTTTGATCAGATGTACATAAGACCAGAAGATAAAAATGGCATGACCAAAATAAAAGGTGTAATTAAAAGCAGGAATAATAACTTTAGCTACAGAGGCAGAGCAAGCCAGATTAGAAATTAACCAGTTTATACAGTAGATCCTTTGTATGTGTGAGCCACATAACCTTGATGTTGCTGTTGTTATCGTGCTCATTAAGAGAAGGTAAAAGGGAATAAGCCAAGCAAAAAATACAAAAATACAAACTCTTTGTTTAGTCATCAGAGAGTGGTACACAAGAGGTCGACATATAGCCACGTATCTGTCATAGGCCATGAGAGCTAGGAGAGAGAAGTCAGCACAAACTGAAGAGTGCAATACAAAACCCTGTAAAAGGCATCCTGCATAAGAGATGACATGAGTGGTGGACAGAAGATCGTAGAGAAACTTGGGATAAAATGCAGCAGTCCCATAGAGTCCATTGAAGCACAGATTGCAGAGGAAGATGTACATGGGTTCATGAAGGCTTTTATCCACAATGACTGTGACAATTATCGTCAAATTTACCAGCCAAATCACACAGTAACACAGTAAAGTGAGAACAAAGAGAATGACCCTGTAGTTTGCAATATCACGTAAACCTGAGAGAGTAAAAACAGTAATTACTGAAACATTATCCATAATAAAATATTAGTTTACCTTACTAGGTGTCATTTCAAACTGAGAGCAAATGACATTTTTACAAGTTAAAGCCAGGGTGTAATTAAGTCTGTCTGTGTACTGTCTCCCTGACAAAGTATGTCACCAGAGGTTTATATACACTTCTTGTCAGCCACATTTATGTAGTTAGTATGATGTAAGCGATGCTTTCACTCCTTGAGTTGAGTTAAAAATTAATTTCTTTGTATTTTATGTAACTATTGAGATCTGGGAAATGACTACAAACAGGTTTGAGCAAACGATGAGCAGTGAGATAAATTAATGCATTTAGTTTAAGAAGAAGAGCTTGCAAGAAGAGCTTTAGCAGCATCCCGAGGAATTTTAGGGGGTGATTCATGAGTTTCAAGCTTGTTGTTACAATCTATTCAAGCTCTCTATATGCAACAAGACCTTAATTTTCAGTGTAAAAGACAACACAGTGATTAAGGCTATTATACATTTGATAAGCAACGCATTCTTCCCTTCCCTCAAAAAAACATAATACAGCTGGGTTATATTGAGTCTTGCTTTTCTTTTTAGATTGTAAAAGAAATGAATCCAGTGAAACATATTTTGTAAATGAAAATGTATTTTACCCTAACAACCAGGCCTCTTTATAATGTTTAAACCTGAAAAGAAGCAGAAAAAAACATACTTACTGCCTGAAATTTTCAACAATAACCTCAGAATACTTTTGAATACTGTTTACACAGTGTAAAACAGCGACTTTGGACTGAGAGTATTATAGGTAACTACAAGTAAACTAGATGCAACAAAACTTTTCAGTTTTCAAAAGGAGATATTAAACTTAATGTTTGCATTTACAAAACAAACAAACAAAAATAATAATGTGCAGGAAATGTGCTTAGTTTCACTCATTTTTTTTATTTAATTGTGTAAAAACCATTGAGTCTGTGATGTCTATATGATTTTAAGTGTTTATAGTTTAATATACGTAATGAATTTATGCAAACTAATGAAAGGTAACACTTTATAACATGATCTGCCACTATGGCGGAAGTACCCTGTACAAGTGCAATTTGAGGACACCAAAGGCAGTTTTTTGCAAGAAACAGCGAAACAAGAACACCGTAAGTACACTGTACTTTCTGGGGCGTGGGTCTTGTTAAGGTGCAGTACCGTGTACTTGCGGGCATTTTTCAGGCAACAAGTCGGGTTTTTTGCAAGAGACAATGAAACAAGTATACTGTAAGTACTAGTAATGTGTGGATCGATACTGAAATATTGATTCCTCTGATGCCAGTCATTTATGTTCTAGAATCGATTCTCATATTAAAATATCGATATTTTAGTAATTTAGGGTAGATTTGTAGTTTATCATTAACAGGAACACAGTGGAAAGAAACTATATCATTAGGACTGTCTACATTGGAAGGAACTACTTCCTCTTCCGCCTTTTTATAGTCATGTGCAAATGTGGTTGTATAAATGTGTCTGCATGCAGACAGGAAGCTGAGACAGCGTACTTGCGTCGTCTCAGCTTCCTGTCTCTGCTGAGAGTTCAGGCAAGCCATCTCAGCTGTCTACGGCGGCCTCCACTTGAAGCTCTATCAAACCATCTTAGCCTTCTGTCTCCACTGAGATCTCGGGCGAGCCACCCCCATCCTCTGCTGGAAGCTCCGGTGAGTTCATTGAGCCAACTGAGGACTAGTGATGCGCAAATCATGAACAAATCACTTTACTGACTCATGAATCATTCACAAGCCCAACTGACTCACTGACTCATCCCTGTTGCTGTTAGCAGCAATATATCTAGCTTGTAATTAAAATTGTGGAGAAAAACACAACATCCAGTATCTGAACAAAAAAATTTCTGCTCTGAACTGGAAGAAAAAACCCTGAGTAGAAGCTCACATCAAGAAAATAGCTCCTCGGTTCACAGTAGCATCGCTCTGCTAACATGCTAACAGCACATTCGAGCTACTCACCCCCTCCCTTCTTGTGTTGAATCGTAAGCGAAAGCGAATCACTCAGGACTCGCTCACCCCCTCCTTCCTCTGCTGAATCATAGAGCTAACGAATCACTCACTCACTCACTCACTCACTCACTCACTAACCCCCTTGCTTAATTGCTTAATTTTAGAAATGTTTTTGCTCTTTTTTGCTCTATAAAATAGTTGTTTTCTTTTAGAATCATTCATCTTAGCAGTAGGATTTACATGAAAAGAGAAACAAATTAAGTTTGAGTGAAAATGTACATTTTTTGCACTTTGGTGAGTGACTCATTACAACTCGATTCAGTAAAAAGAATCAAATTTACCATCACTACTGAGGACTGCACCCTGCTGTCGCTGCCTGAGCAGAGCCAATCCCCTTCACAGCTGGTGAAGGGGATTGGCCTGGTGTTAGTGTTCCCCTGTCTCGTCAGGTTAATCAGGTCCAGCTGTGTCTCCCACCTGTGTGTGATTTCCCAGTGTCCCTCTGTGTATTTATAGTGTGTGTCTGCCTGTGTTCCTTGTCGCGTCATCTGTTTCTTGATAATTCCAGCATCTCTCTGCCCTTTATTCCAGCTCTCCATTCTCTGCTCGTCATCCCTGGTGTCACCTCCTTATGTTTTTCCCTGTGCGTTATTCCATGAGTTATGGTTTCGGGTTTTGTTTGCTATTAGTTTCCCCATTTTAGGTTAATGTTTAGTTCTGTCCTGGCTTTTCTTATTTTCACTGTCCACAAGAAAGCTCCCATGTATCACAGCAAGTGCCAGCATTTTGGGTCCTTCTTGACAACACCACACGACTGCTGCCCCAGCCGTGACTGTTGTGCC